ATGATGAGAAAATAAAAATCATTACCACAACTGCATCATTTACATACACGTATGACATCAATTTTAAATCAGAATTTTTCCCTACGAACATTTTTATTTAAGAACAACGTTGTTCAATTAGTAACCTCTTCATTTTGGTAATAGGGTCTGAATTCAATTGTGTGGTTGGAACAAACAATTCAATCCGTGAAGTCATTTGCGACCACATATTTAGGTCAAATGGTCTAATGTGTTCCTCATATTTCTGTAAGTGAATTGTAAAGGGGACACTTCGTAGCCGGACTTGATTTTTATTTTATTTTTTTCTAGACAAAATATTAATACATAAAAACTTCTTAGCTGGTATTCAAGCTGATATACCAAATATAGCAGATAAGGTATAATAATTAAAAAAAATATTTAGTCCATCTGTTAGATAATCGATTATACATAGATATTATATTTAATCGTATCGCATTTTATTCTATGTTATTAAAAACTATAAATTTAATTTATTAATTCAATAGACATAAATAAAATTAATATTAACTATTACTAAATGAAAATACATATCTATAACTTAAAATATAAATAACTATGAACTAAAATATTTACACCTTAAAAAATGCTATCATAAGGCATCAAAAGTAGATAATTAATAAAATGTAATTGTAATAAACACTGTTCTGAAAAGCGCATCAAAATCGCTTCAGCCAATCACGAGATAATCGTGCACATACATACATACAAGCATATACGTCTAACTGAGAACATCCTTTTTTTAAAGTTGGTTAAAGAACATTAGACCTGTATTTTTTATTTTGTCGTGCAATTAAACCATACTTACCTAGATAAAACGACTTTAAATAAATATATCGTCGATAGTATTTAATTTCGACTGCCTCGTTGGCCGAGTGGTCGCAAGTGCGACTGCCGGGCAAAGTATTACTGGGTTTTTAAAAAAATATCAGTAGTAGCACGGAGTCTGGAATGTACCCGGTATATGGTAATAGGCTCACTCCCTATTACATGGGACTCATAACATAAATAGTGAAAAGTAGGTGTTACATTGTACAGTGGCATTAAGTGCCGTAATGTGCACATCTGCCTATCCCTTCGGGAATGTCGCGGAGAACCTAACGGGTAACCGGGGCTCCGACTCGACGTGCAGGAGAAGGAACGGGGTGGTTTTTAGTCAGTAAGAGTCTGACACTCCCTTCCGCCTCACCCAGGCGGGAGCAGTCATTCGATGATTTTCCCCCCTTAAAAAAAAAATACGCTTAAATCCCGTGGGTATACAATACAAATATGTATTTACTAGTAGATGCCCGCGACTTTGTCCGCGTGGAATAGTGATTTTGGATAGTTATTCACTGCTTCTCCCCCGTAGATGAGAGACGTACAGACAGACATACATGTTGACGCCAAGTCAACATGTAGATAATATACGGTTCATATTCATGCAAAATTTGAGGTAAATCTATGCAGCACTTTTTGAGTTTAGCCCGGACATACATACAGACAAAAATTCTAAAATCCATATTTTTGGCTCCGGTGTCGATTGTAGATCACGTCCTAAGCATTTTTTTTTAAATATTCAATGTACTCTTTTGACTTGCATACGATTTTTTTTATAATACTTATGTACTTGTAAAAACATAATAGGCATGGCGACTATTTTTTAATTTTTTGTCCGTCTTTTAGATATTTTAAAAATCTTCGATACGTATTTTTTCTTTTTTCTCGTATCCAAAAAAACATGTAGATATTTTGAGTTAAAATGACGCGTGACGTCACAATTAGGTACGATTTCTCCGTAAGTGTGACGTCAACACCCCCCACTCCCTAACTTTAATGCGGAATAACTACGTATTCTTCTGTTAATTTGATAAAACAAAAAATACGTGTCTGATATTTTCGTGCGATCTTAATGACGGACTAATTACTTTTTTGATTTTTTTACCCTGTCGACACGCCTATTGTTAAAACCGAACACAACGTTCGTCTGTGTATTGATATCTATACAATTAAAATTAAATAGAAAACAATTAAAAACACAATTCAAGCTTTTCATCCAAAGAATTTTGTAACTAAATATATGTTTGGACAAATAATAATGGGATAATCAAAGATACATAATTATTCTAAGATGATGTCATGTATCGTTGCGCATTGATTTTATCTACATAAGTATTCGCACACGCTTATCAACATGAAGCGACTTGTAGTCTACTAATCGCTAAAGATAAGTATCAAATTGATAATATGTTTACGTTCTGAAAAGAAATTGACTGAAATTAATCATCATAATTATCAGCTGAATATTTAAGCCTAGATTTCTTAGATATAGAAATTATTAGCCTAGATTACCTCACGACGTTTTTCTTCATCGTTTGTCAGTGGTGTCTAAATAAACTTTTTTTTAAGATTTGTTTTTGTTTTGTGGGGGGGAGAATCATCCGATGTCTTCTTCCCGCCCGAGTGAGGCGAGAGGGAGTGTCAGACTCGTACTGACTACAAACCACCCAGTACCTACTCCTGCACTTCGAGCCGGAGCCCCGGAGAAAGTACATAATAACTCGGTAAAAGTCACATTGGTACTTTCCGGTGGTAGGTTTCGAAATTACACTCTCATGCATGAGAAGCGGGCGTCTTAAGCGCCGGGCCACCACGATAATCAATGTATGAATCAACTAAATATTTCATTAATATTATAGTATTTCTCTGAAAAAAGACTATTTATCTTCTCACAGCTGTGTTTTTGAATTCATAGTCTGAGCAAAATGCAATACCTCTATCTGCTACAGTTACTATAATATTTTGAAGAAACAATACCCAATCAGGCTTAGCTTGACGAAACTAGAATTCTGTCATCAATTTTGTATTTTTCCCAGTGATATTTTTAGTCCAAGACTGTTACTATAGCAACCTACACACACATAAGACAGCATCTGACGAAAAGTCGTTAGAGAAGACGTAGAAAGAAAACTGTAAAGTGACTACAAGCGACTTTTTAGTCCACTGCAAGTGGCATAGTGTGTGCCAATACTAACTCGCGTGAAAGGAGTAAACAATTCACTTGTTTTCTAAACAATTGTATCGGTATTTTAATAAGTCAGTCATCTCCTCAAATCTTAATTAGATGGTTGTCTCAAAAATGTACTTAAAATTACAAATTTTATAACACATAAAACAATTTCGAATTTGTGTAATGTCAGTTTTATGCCGAGAAAAGAGCAATTTTCATAATAAAATCCAGTGAAAAAATTAAAGAAAAAAAATGGTGTTGAAATAATTTTGTAAAATAGAAGTGCTTCCACTTAAACGAATAAAATTAAACGCATGTGGCGATCCCATCATAATATATCATGACATTGAACTAATAATTACATGGCATTCAAAGCAATAGAACTAACGAACTAACATCAGTTGTTGCCAAGACTTTGCTATTGACAATCTTAACCAGTGTTTCATAGAAAATTTTAATATTTGATATAAAAATTTAACAAGTATTTGATACCAGTAGCAAAATGCTAACGAAATAAACTAAACTGTTCTAACAAAAACTACAAAAAAAATATTTTTATGTGACCTTCCGCAAGGGGACATTTTAGGACCACCGCAGCTTTGATGAAAAATAAAAGTGAAAAATAAGGTAGAAATTACTAAAGTAATATAATTAATGATAGTGTAATATAACATTAATTAATTAAAAATGTTACAAATAAAATATACGATGAATTTAATAGTTTTGATAATATTGTTGATACGGACAGTTAAAGTGGTTAGTAAAAACGTGAGTGAGAATGAAAGAGCTTTGAGAGCTGAATTCGTTCAGAAATTATTGAATAAACAAAATAAGTTTGAAGGAAAAATAAAATTAGTTGGAGGATCGAGTAAATATGAAGGTAAGTAGTTAGAATTCTCAAAGTTAGCGTTGAATCGTTTTATTTCCTTTATTCATTGGAAAATGTACCTTGTATCTAAATCTCTTCATAATCATATTTATATTCGACAGAGAAAAATGCACTGATTCCGAATATATATATAACTCAATATCGCCCAAAATGTCGCTTAAACCAAATAGTCCGTTACCCCTCGAATTATGCATTGCGATATAAATCTGAGCTGCTCAGTAATGTCACGCAAAAAAAAATCATTTACCTACAAACGTCCTACGTTGCCTAAAATAACACAAAGGTATTTGATTTAGTACTAATATAACATAACATAACATCACGCTTTTTATCGCCGAAGGGGTAGACAGAGGTGCACACAGAAGTATCATCCACTTTTCACTATTTATGTTATGAGTCCCAAGTAATAGGGGGTGAGCCTATTGCCATATATCGGGCACATTTCCAGACTCCGCGACAAGCTTATAAATAACAGAGATGAGAATATTTAATTCTTCGAAACTTCTCCTTTGAAATATGTAAATATTAATTTAGAAGTAACTAATAGACAGAAATGAAACTATTGCTATTGCATCTTGGATTTCGTTCTTTCTTATTATATTATGTTACTTCTCTTTTAGTCTCGTTGGCCGAGTGGTCACAAGTGCGACTGCCAGTCAGCCAAAGTATTACTGGGTTTTAAAAAAAATCTCAGTAGTAGCACGGAATCTGGAATTGTGCCCAGTATATGGCAATAGGCTCACCTCCTATTACATGGGACTCGTATCATAAATAGTGAAAAGTGGGTGTTACATTGCACCTCTGCCACGGTAATAGATATTATCATAAATATTACCGTGCCTCTTGCCTACCCCTTCGGAGATAAAAGGCGTGATGTTATGTTATGTTATATTAGTACTAAATCAAATACCTTTGTGTTATTTTAGGCAACGTCTACATTTATCACGCTGGTCGTTGGGGAGCAGTATGTGATGACAACTGGGATGATGAAGCTGCTGCAGTCGTCTGCAGGTCCTTCAACTTGAGTGGGATTGCGACAGTCGGTAGTCAGTATGGAGAAGCTACTGGTAAGATCTAAATGAAAATAGTTCAAGGATCAGATCAATGAAATATGTCTTTAACATGTGGACTTTTCTCAGTTTGTTAGTATTAATTTCTTAGTTTACAATATTTATAGCTTCATTACCAAAAGTATAATAAAAGCAGTCACGATACAGAAAAAAGTTCTAGTGTGGGGCATTATTATTCTTAAAAAAAGTTGATTAAGGTTTAATAATAATCTTTACTTTTCTGACAACGCGCATACCAATCCAATATCATATTGCACATTTTGGGAAATATTTGATTTAAAGATTAGTAAACTAATGACCTAATTTAACCTACTTAATTAATTTTTCCCTTAGAAAAATTTTGGCTAGATGACGTCATATGTCAAGGAGATGAACCATCACTTTCCAAGTGTGTTTTTAATCGATGGGGATCTACAGATTGTGATAAAGACGAGGTAGCTGGAGTTATATGTATGGATGAAAGGCAATTACCAACAAACCGTAAGGATCAGGATTCTGTGCAGCTAGTGTATAAAGAAGAGAAACTAAGAGATGTTATAGATATTTCGATGTCTAAACTAAGGCTGACTGGCGGCAAGAATATCAGAGAAGGAAGAGTTGAGGTTTGTGTCTTATTTTTATTAAACGACTGCCTCGTTGGTCGAGTTGTCGCAAGAGCAACTGCTGAGCAAACGGTCTTACGTATTACTGGGTTTATTAAACAAAATCTGGAATTGTGCCCGGTGTATGGCAATACGCTCACCCCTATTATATGGGACTCATAACACGAATAGTGTAAAGTAGGTGTTATATTGTACAGTGGCATCACGTGCCATAATTTACAGCTTTACCTACGCCTTCGGGGATGTTATGTTATGTAACATGATGAATAATAAGTAAATGTTGATCATTTAGTAGGTAGTAGGTAGTGGATTTGCCACTTTTAGTTCATCTATTAGTTCAACCAAATCTATTTTGTCCAGATCTTCCTCAACGGCACCTGGGGCAGTATCTGCCCTGACGGTTGGACGGTCTACGAAGCTTCCGCAGTCTGCCGCCATCTTGGTCTCGGTTATGCAGAACAAGCTTTGCAGACTTATGTCTTCGGGTTTTCAAATATCATTCTCAGTGGCGTTTCTTGTGAAGGCAATGAGTCAACCCTGTTTGACTGTAAACATAAGCAGCGAGGCAATGTCAAATGTCCTGGTGATATTGGTGAGTGAATTTGACTTTTATATTGGATAAGTAATGGTTGAATTTTGAATGTAGTTTGAAGTCGGTAAGGTATAAGATTGTTTGACAATGTTGTTGTTTAAAATTAAATAAAGGGGATATTGCTTATTTATTTGTTGGAGCGTTAGGTAATACAGTTTATTCTAGGTTAATTCCATGTAAAAGGGATTTTGTTGTGCTAAATACTAATACGTATTAATGAGAATTATCTATAACGGAAAAACTGAAATATAATTGACTGTCCTCGTTTTCTAGTAATCGTTTCGAAGAATGATGACAGGAAAATGAAAATAATCTCAATTAAATTTTGAAAAATCTAGCAATCAATAAATACCGCATTCATGTTATCAGTATCATTCACTATCACTTAATGATGCAGTGAATATTTAATTTATGAATCATGTAATATACGCACCTATAATGTTAAAGGATGGCGGCCAAACATGTATAGGTAATGTACCTATTGACCAATAACGACCAGAGGTATGCCATTAGAAAGCTCTTTTCATGACTGTCATTTGTTGTTACGGAGGCTAGTCTTTTTAAGTGTGGGAGAGCCATGCTTCGGCACGAATGGGCCGGCTCGACCGGAGTGATACCACGGCCTCACAGAAAACCGACGTGAAGCAACGCTTGCGTTGTATTTCGTCGTGTGAGTGAGGTTACCGGAGGCCCAATTACCCTCCCCTTCTCCAATCTCCCCAATCCCTAAATCCCCAACGATCCTCTAACTCCTAATCCCCAAAAAGCCGGTAACGCACTTGTAACGCCTCTGGTGTTCCAGGTGTCCATGGGCAACGCCGATAGCTTACTTACCATCAGGTGATCCGTCTGCTCGTTTACCGGTTATGCCATAAAAAAAAGTCTCAATTTGTTGTGGGAAAATGTTATATCTACTTACTCAAACGATATCTATTAACTCGTCGAGTACCGTCATTATAGACACAATTAAAGAACAATAGGTTGTGGTCACCGGTGTCCTCGCGGTGTTTGATAGTTTAAAGGACATGGAGTAACGTTGGGCCTACCTCTCAATAGGAATAATAGAACCCTGGTTCCCTCTTTGACTGGATTTAGGTGTTGCATTGTTCTCACACAATCGAACCAACAAAACTATGTAACTAGAGAATCGTATTGTAAACACGATTGAAAAAGAATAACCTATGGAGTTTCTTGCTTGGTCTTCTCCATAGGAATCTATACCTTGGAATAAACAAAATAAGTCCCTTTCGGGTTTAATTGAAATAAATGATTTAGACTTTGACTTCAGACGCTCGCTTCTCATGCATGAGGTTGCGAATTCGAAACCTACTAACGGCAAGTACCATTGTAACTTTTTCCGAGTTATATGTACTTTCTAAGATTATTTAGGTTAGATAACCCAAACTTATAATTTCCAATTATAAGTATGAAATTGCCAACCCGTATTAAGCAAGCGTGACGATTAATGTTCAAACCTTCTTCGTGTAAGAAGCCTATGGTTAGCAGTGGCTACTTATAGACTGGAGAGTTGGAGACTAGATTTAATGCTTTATATGTATTTTATAACGAAGTCAAATTTAACCAACCAATACAGTAGTATCCTAAATTTTATTATAGTGTCCACCTGTTAGGTATTTTTTTTTTTTTTGTAAATATAATTGTTGGTGTTTATTCAATTTAAATGCCTATTAATAAATACATATAACTACATAAATATTTACAACTTCAAATTAACTGCAACTTAACTATTACATTAAACCAAAGGAAAAAAAGGAAGCAACAAAAATTATACCCTCAATTTAGGCGTCAAAGTATTCGTCCGCATCACTATCACAGGGGAACGTTCCCTTTTCTAACAAAATTAAATACTTTCGACGATATATTGATTTAAAATATCCTGTGACGTCACAATTTACTACATTTTATAGGGTAGCGTGACGTAACGACCTACTCCTAAACTCTAACTCCATTTTATCTAAGTATTGTTTTCTTATACGACAAAATAGAAAAATATGCGTCTAATATTTTTTTCATTATCTAAGTAACTGACTGATTTTTAATTTTCATACGCTGTCTACTAACCTATTGTAATCTTTAGTCGATTCAATAGCCTACCAACGTGTCCTGAATCAATCTTAATATTATTCCCGGCATACAAAAGAAGTTGTACATAATATTGATACCAAATATACTTCACATACATAAATTAGTTTAATACCCCGGCTAACAACGTGACAAGCATTTATCAAAATTACAATTTCATATTAGCGATGCAAATTGAACCACGTTTACTGAAAGATTAACGATATTAATTGTATAATTTATCAGTTTACACCGTGTTCTGTGCATTATAGTGCTTACATACATAACATTACAATTCCGATATAATAGTCTAAGAGCACAAGAATAGTTTATTAATCACTATTGAGAATAACAATAAGAACGTTTATTTGCACGAAGTATGGTAATTACAGGTAGTATAATTATAAAAAAATAGTCCCACATACATCGCCTACTGTTTTCGGCATGCAAAGTTAAGTTTTACAATATAATAAAGTTAAAATCTTACATTCAATAAAACCAATTACAAAAATGCTTACAACTAGGATAACATAATTATTCCTCCTAACATATTATTATTACTTTTTTTTATTCACATATTTATCATTTTAGTGACTTACTAAATAACAACTCACTCAATATTGCTCAATATTGCAACACATTCAATATTACTAATGAACTATTCATATCATTTTAACGGCCTCGTTAGTAAAGTGGTCTCAACCGTGACTGACTGACTGAGTCTTTATAATGTTAGAAAGTATTTTTTGAAATGGACAAGCCCACCACAACCTCCCAAAACCGTTGCAACTCCTGTAAACCAGGATCTACAGTAGATACAACCATGAAAACACCGGAACACTGGTCTTGGTTCCTACAAAGAAATGAATGAGAAGATATTATAAGAAGAGAAGGAAAAAACAATAGTTTCCACTTCCCTCGGTTAATGTTGTTGAATGTTGTTGAATGTCGAATTGTTGCAGGGGATAGAATGATTTAAGCCTAAAAGCACAAAAAAGAGACTGCACAACTAGGAGAAGCCCAGTCGCCAAGCACGACGGAAATTAACTAAAAACAATCTGGGTCCAATGTGCGATCTGTTATATTTACTAATACATAATAATAATATGTATGGCAAAAACTTGGCTACATATTTTCTAGATTCCACAAAGTCCGTATAATAAACTACACCTGACAAAAGAAATAAATTATCTAACATTACTGTTACGTTCAAAACATGGTACTATATCATGTTAAAAGTGTTGACAACGAAAATCAACTAAATGAACGTCACTAGTTTAATCTATGTTATCGACAGCACTAGCGGCCATATTGACGACGTCATCTGTCAAATGTGACAGTTAAGGAAGTTTCCCGCGCAAATAGTTGTAACGGGCATTCAGGTTGGAAGTTTTGAACAAGCATTATGCTGTTTGTACCTTTTGAAGCTGTTTTAGAATAAACTTCTTGCTGTATTGAAGTATTGAGTTTTACTTAAAAGAAGGTTTTTTTTATAGTATATAGTAAGCCGGTAAACGAGCAGACGGATCACCTGATGGTAAGCAATCGGCGCCGCCCATGGACACCCGAAACAACTTGTGGAGGATTCGGGAGACTAGGGAGGGCGATAATTGGGCCTCCAGTAATCTCAATCACACGACGAAACACAACGCAAGCGTTGTTTCACGTCGGTTTTCTGTGAGGCCGTGATATCACTCCAGTCGAGCCGGTCCATTCGTGCTGAAGCGTGGCTCTCCCACACTTATAGAAGAGGAATGATATAACATATCCACCTATCAAAATCAAACAAGACAAAACCTAACCTAACCAGGAAACTAGCAATACCCAACTGCGTCATGTCTCACCTACAGAATAATTAAGTTGATCAAGTAACTTAGGAGTTGCTTAAGCTAATAACTAAGTTGCCACTTCGGAGCGGAATGGATACGGGTGTAAGCAGACTTCTAGTTACTATGTATTGTGTTACTTCGTTACGGGAGATCTTGTTTCCTGTGTGTGTCTTATGTTTGCTTCGTAGCTAGGAGATACCTATTTGTTTGTAGCTAGGAGATATCTATTTATGACTCGCCAAGGGCTTTTGGGTTCGATAAAGATAGGATCCCGGGTCGGATAAAGTATTATTGGGGTTTAAAAAAAAATCTCAGTGGTAGCACGAAGTCTGGAATTGTGTCCGGTATATAGTAAAGACTCACTCGCTATTACATGGGACTCATAACATAAATAGTGTAAAGTAGGTGTTAAATTGTACAGCGGCATAAAGTGCCTTAATGTGCACCTTTGCTTACCCCTTCGAGGATAAGAGGCGTGATGTTATGTATACCTATTTGGTTATAATGTACTTTGGTACTGATTACTTCATTTGTCTACTGAAGTCAATTCCGGTTTGTGGATCAGAGAAAATGTGGTTACAATAAGTATATTCGACACTACATACCTACTAATAGCTACTTCCGCGCGGTTTCACACGCTCTGCTCAGCTCCTATTAATCGTAGCGTGATGTTTTATAGCCTATAGCCATCCTCAATAAATGGACTATCCAACACAAAAAGAATTATTCAAATCAGACTTGTAGTTACGGAGATTAGCGCGTTCAATCAAACAAACAAAAAACAAACTCTTCCGCTTTACCTCTATATAACAGTATAAGATTATTGTATAATTTATCGTATCATGAAGTTCAGAAAAATATCGCTCAATGTAAAATTGAAATAACAGTGTTCACCCCAACCTTATTACTCTAATTTGTATTAAAATCTATTTTCCTGATAAAGTCAGAGTCCATTTTAGTAATATTTAAGCTACAATACAATGGACAATTTTTATTAAAAAAAATATGATATCTAATGTGGAATCAAATATTATAATACTGTAAGACAGTCCAGACAGACATTGTAGATATGATATATTTGTATTTAAGTAAACAATGACAGCTGCCCACCATCTGTGCTCAACTCCAGTTTAGTTGATATTCTTTCAATAAAATAACTGCGATGTAATATTGATATTGTTAGCTTTCTTAGCAATGTGAAGTATATTCGCATATCACATTAGAAACTGAACAAAAGTCTGTCACTATGTCTGGGATTTGACTGGGGAATTTCTTTTGAATATCTGTTAATAACTATCAAAAATATGAATTGCCTTGTTGATTTGCAAATTTGAATACGTACGGTGGTCAGTAGGCCAAATAAAAAATACTGGGTCAAGAATATCAAGCGCTTATAACTAGTTAGGTAGCTTTGGCAATTCTCTTTTTTTTGACAATAAGACTTACCTACACAGTTTTCAAAAAATCTGAATAAAAAGTTTACACTGTACAAACGTACAAAATAAACCACAAAAAGATCCGATCCGATCCGAAAGACATCGAAATATTTTGTATAAGCAAAATATGCTTATACAAAATATTTTTTTAATTCGATAAGTAAACAAGTGGAGTCTTTTTTATTACGGGGGAAAATCATCCAATGACATGTTCTGCCTCGGGTGAGGCGAGAGAGAGTATCAGACTCTTACAGTCTGTACAGACAGTAGTTCCTACTTCTGCTCTTTGAGCCGGAGCCCTGGCAACCCGTTCAGTCTTCCGCGGCTCTGTACCGGGCATCAACCAGACCAGTATAATAGTCTAATACCTTATTTCTGGTACAGGTCACACGGCAGCGGTAGTATGCACCCACTTCCTAGCCGACCTGGTGCTGGATATGACAGTAATTGAAAGATCAGCTCACCTGCAAGACGTGATGATGTACCAGCTACAATGCGCCATGGAGGAGAACTGTTTGAGCAGGACTGCTTATGAGGTACTGGCTACATAGTTCTGCGCGGTTTCTCTCGCTCTGCTCGGCGCCTATTGATCGTTGCGTGTAGTTTCACTACCTAAACTTTTCTCGATAAATGGACTAAATTCAATAAACAAAAAAATTCAAATAGGACCGGTTAAGTAGATCCTGAGGTTAGCTCTAAATTATGTTCTTTATTTTTTTTTCATATTTAGTATTTCGATTAATTTGTAAAAACTGAATATTTGTTTTGTTTTTTTCCTAAAATAAAAAAAATATTTATATAACTATACCACTGTAGGCAACTCTTATGTTGAAAACCTATGTTGCGCGATAAGAAAAATGGTGGTAACGTAGTGAATTCGCGGTCGCGGTAAAATTCAAAATTCGAAGCCCCGCCCACGCCCCGGTCGAGCGTGCTCCGCGCTCGCGCCAACAGTCGCCGCCAAAACGTTAAGTGAGTGAGCGTGTTCGAAGACGCTCCGCGTTCCCGCCAATTTTCTCGGTTTTTGAATTCGATACGGAAACATTCAGCCCTAATCTGTTACAACCACAGAAAACGACTTTAATAAATTACTTTCATTTTATTTTTTAATACAAACAAATATTGTAAAATGAACTCAAATTTACGTTTGTCGAATCCCAGGTTCAGAAACTGATACCAGATTGGCAGTATGAGACCCGGCGTCTACTCCGATTCACGGCGTCATCACTCAACGCTGGCAATGCAGAATTCAGGCCTTACTTACCGAAACATTTGTGGCAGTGGCATCTATGTCATATGTAAGTGATATTAATGTGACCTTGTATTGTGTTGTCTTGACAAAAGATTTAACCTATTCAGAATTATGGAAAAAGTAATAGGTAAGTAGTTGTGAAGGCAATAACTCATAACCTTTAACTCGTCGAGTACCGGTTTTGCAGACACAATTATAGAACAATAGGTTGCGGTCACCGGTGACCGCTTGGTATTTGACAGTTTAAATAACCAAACATTTAAAAAATTTAAAACATATTTTAAACCACAGGCACTTTTAAAAGTTATAATTATCAAATCTAAGTTTCAATGAAAGTAATACCAACTTGAAAATCATATTAGGTCATCGAAAGTCTAATAAAGAATATGCCTATGTCTCAGTAGCTGATTAGGTACCTACAGTTTATTAAAAACTTGAGTCATAATTAGGTTGATGACAGGGTATGAAAATTAAAAATATAATAATTAGTCCATAAGTTATAAAAAACGATTAGACACGTATTTTTTTTATTACATAACATCATA